GACTCTGAGTCAGTTTTTCTACACGTGGACTGTCGAGAGAAGAAGAGTCAGGATGAACTTCTGTCAATCAACAGTTTGACTCAAGCTGTGATCAGCTGAGTCCAACACATTCAACMTAAAACTGTCTCAGGTTACCGTGACAACAGGGAGACAGTGTAGGAGGGTTGACTTATTTCAAGAAACATTGAATTTACGTACCTGGCTTCATTGTGTGTGTTTGAGCTCACATTGTACTGAAGTCTGAGCTTGGCAGAAAATGTCTGGAGTTCTAATTCAAACCTTATTCTCTAGAAGATATAGAATAACATGTTGTGTGTGTGTCCCCCCCACAGAGAGACTGACGTGTGATTTCCTGTAAATGCAGAAAGGAGAAGCAGCTCAAAGTCCAAACTGAAGCTCAGACTCCATTTTAAGTACATGACGCAGACGATTAAAACAAAGTGCTGAATCTGGTGAGTGTTAACACAACAATATGTTGAATATATCTTTACTGTCACAGACTCTGAGTCAGTTTTTCTACATGTGGACTGTCGAGAGAAGAAGAGTCAGGATGAACTTCTGTCAATCAACAGTTTGACTCAAGCTGTGATCAGCTGAGTCCACATTCAACCTAAAACTGTCTCAGGTTACCGTGACAACAGGGAGACAGTGTAGGAGGTTGACTTATATTTCAAGAAACATTGAATTTACGTACCTGGCTTCATTGTGTTTGTGTTTGAGCTCACAGTGTTTTTCCTCTCAGACTGAAGATGAGTGGTTATGTGGAGGAAGAGGACAGAGCAGAGTCTCCAGAGTTCAGCTGTGTGTCTCTGAAGAGTAACCGGTCCATGAAACAACCTCCAGCCTTCAGTAATGAACCTGGACCCTCACACACAAAGTAAGAGACCTGCTACAAACATGTGAACCTCCAAACTGAATCCTCAGAGAATGAATCAGTGAATGATTCTGGATAAAAACATGTTTGTGTTTGCAGAGGTGAGGACCACAGACTGAGAGCAGAGTCTCCAG